TGATGGGATAATCTGTAACCATAATATGATTAACCTAAACAACTCTAACATACAAAGCATGGATAATTATTAACCTTTTATAATTTACTGTGACAAGTAAAATATGTTCATAATTAAAGTAAAGCTTCCATCAATAAAATAAATAATACAAATGATTCACTGTAATTATTTGATTGATCCTAAATCCATCCGACAACAGAACCTCTAGTATACGACCATTTTATTTAGATAGATGCATGTGTAGCCATAATCCTTCCATAGCCATTAGCTAGACTAAACCACAAATTAGCCAGATACGTATCTCATTCATACTATATTGGCTAGCTCCTAAATAGACCACCATGATAACAGAAAGATTAAGAGACTTTAGCCCTTAGCATGTTGGAACCCATTAGCAAGCGCGAATAATATGAGCAACCTTAGGTTCAACCTCAACAAATATATTTTGTTTGTGCATATTTGATTGTTGCTTGAATATTGGTTTTTCTCGCGTATTATAGACTTGTGTATATCGGTTAGTCGTGAGGCAACGTCAGCAACTTCCAGGAGGTGAAGGTTGATCAAGAATTATATCAAGAATAAGGACTATCCTGAGCAAGGCAAGTCATCACTATTCCTTGAACATGTTGATCCCAATTGCGAAATTGTTTTGTTTACAAATAAAATTGCATGCAATAATGAACATCCTACTTGTGATTATGCCATGCCTTGATTATTGTTTACCCTTAAATCTTTGTAACCATGTTTACGTATGAGTCCCTAGTCAACTATGACAATTGCTTAGAAATGCTATTCTAGAATCATGCATACTCATATTTATCAAATGCTATATGCTTGGGCAATTACCTTTGGGAAGGTAATTGAGATGCGGCATGTGGAGACATGAGCGCCACATTGCCATGATGTTGATGACATGATTTGTGAAAGGAGAAATAAAATTAAACAACTGTTTTCGACTGGGGCGGACGGAGGATTTGGGTGGTATCTGGAAAAGGCTAGTACCGTCCCCGGTCAATTAAGGACTGGGCCATGAAGTTAAGCATGAAACGACCCCCGTACAACCGTACTTCTCGAATAGGTATAGACCTAGCGGATTAGATAGCCGAGCGGAGGCAGTATCCCTGCATAGATGGTTCACCCCTGAGTGAGGCAGGTGCGCTACGATGGGACAGCCGTTGAGGTAGGGCCGAGAAGCGTGCCCTACATCGGTGTCGCCATTGGTAGGACTGCCATGAGTGTGTGAGAGAGAGAACTTAACTTGAACCATAATTTAATATGCGTGTGAGACTTCTCTTTCCTGGGAGCGCCAGAACTCCTCTCACTGCTAGAAACATGGACGCCTAGAGTGCATGAGGATTTAAGTTCATGGAGCGGGTACTGCCAATGCGAGGTTATCGAAAAGCTTTGCCGTGACGCGTCTCATGTGTTGGGACGAGGCTCATGTGTTGGGCAGTCGCGGAGTGCGGGTAAAGTGTACATCCACTGCAGTGTGAGTAAACCAAATCTATTCGAATAGCCGTGCTCGCGGTTATTGAGCACCGGGACATGTATTACACTTGGCTACACTCTAAATTCTTAACTTGTGGGGGATGGGATATTGCATGATGAATTTTATGCTGATGGAGCCACTTCCCGAGAGGAGGGAAGGTGGACATCCTTAGAAAACCACGATGATTCAATGGCGGGAAGCTATCCTTTGGATCACAATAGATGGTGGACAGAACCGTCGTTATTTAAAGTGAACACTGGTACTAAAATTTGATCAGTCTATGCTAGATTTTAGGTTTGTGAAAAGAAATGTAAAATTAGCTTTATGTAGAAGAACCTGAAGCCATTCCTTGAAATATCCTCTATCATATGCATTGTTGTTGTGGTGGCTTGCTAAGTACGGTTGGTACTCACCCTTGCTATTTATATATCTTTTAGGAGAGTGTTGAAGAGAAGCCCTTGTAGGTACGCTTGCGTATCCCACAAGATGATCAGAGTGCGGTCTTGTTCTAAGTCTCGTTCCCTAGTCGACTGCCTGTGGCATGTTAACCGGGCCCTTATATTATTTTGTTTTCTGCTGTTGTTCTCTGATAGTTGTTGGCCTACCTGGCCCTAATGTAAGTATTTATCTCTTTTAGCCTAAATTCACTCATGATATGTTGTGATCCAACTATGTATGTGTGTACCAACTACAGATCCAGGGATTGGTACGGATAAACACAGAAGATTTCCGATTTCCGAAATCGGGGGTCTACAGCTTGCGAGGACGGAGGGCGGACGGGGTCGCCCTTGACCTTCAAAAGGAGAAGAGGGAGTTAGGGAGGGGAGGACCGATGCGGGGTGACTGGAAATGAAGGCCGATGGCGACGACAAGAGGTAGAGCTCACCGGCGAACTTAGAGGATGGGTTGGAGCGGCGGAAGACGACGACCGAGCAGCGGACGAGGCACGGCTGGCCTGGGCGCTGCAGCAAGAGGCGGCCAGAGGCGGCAAAAGCGACGGCAGCTCGGGTTGCGCGCGGGCACGGCATCACGGCGGTGGTTCGGGGAAATAAAGTGGATGCCGGGATGGAGCTCAGGACAACGAGGCTAACGGTGGTGGCGGCGCAACGCGGCGGCGTCTGGAGCGGCGGCGGCGCACGGCTGGAAGTCGACGCCGAGCGGCGGCGCGCGGGAGCGGCATGGGGAGGGCGAGAGAGAGCGCGGCGGGCTCAGGTGAGGAGGGGAAAAGAGAGAGGATGCTCCGGGGATCGTTTTTATAGGATTGGGGAGGAGAAATCGTGGCCGGACGTGGCGGATTTGAGGCGGCAACGGCCGGCGACGTGGGCGACATCGTGGGCGAAGTGGGGGCTCGATTTAGCGCCAAAAATTGGGGAAAAGTGAGGGATTTGGTGGAGGAGGTGGTGAGGAACCTATTTTACTTGGTTTGGGCGCGAAGGCGCGAGCGGGAGGGCGCCGGATTTGGCAGGACGTGGCCGGCAATGGCGGTTGGGGTTGGCCGGCGAGAGGTAGGTGGAGGAGCTGACAGGTGGGGTCCACGGTCCCACCTGTCGGCCGGATGGAGAGAGAGGAGGGAAACCGGGGGACGTAAAGCAGACTTTCGCAAGGCACGGGCCGGCCGAGAGAGGGAGGAGGCGCGCGGCCCACGGGAGAGGAGGGGAAGGTTTGGGCCAAGCCTAAAAGGGAGGGGAGGGGATTTTATTTTTTTTCTTTTTTTTTAATTGGTTAAAATGAACTTTGTGCTTTTAAAATTATTTCTTGAGCTCCGAAAATTCACGGAAAATTCTAGAGAGTACATTAGGGCACAAAGAATATTACAGAATATTCCTGGCCAATGATTTTTAAAGGAAATTTTAATTTCCTCCATAATTCCACTTGATTAAATTGGTTTAACTTTTATTTAATTTCTAGAAAATGCATTATTAAATGATTTTTTTTTAATCCCGAACGAAAATCGGGGCGTTACATATCGCAACATTTCCTCAACAACCTGGGGCTGCCAAACCACATTACAGGAATATGGAGAGATTTAATAAAAGAAAAAAGTCCTCGTACCTGCAAATCTAGATAGACGAGGCGCCGCCGGTGGAAGAAATCAAATCTGGGAGCTTCTCTGTTCTCACCACGAGCAATCTTGTGTCCAGCAGCAATCTTCTGCAAGAACAAGCTCTCCTCAAATCGAGTTGGCCTTGCTCTCCGATTTACTACGTGGAGACTGGAGGCTCTACTACATTTATATAAGGGCACGGGATTACTGCAGATGATGAGGATGCCTGAGAGTTCAGCAAGGGGAGGAGGATGATTGCAAATTGACCGGATCTATAAGCCCTATAGTTCAGCTCTCCCTTGTGAGCCAGCCTTTTCTCGCTCCTATGGGCTAGCTCGCCCCCACAGGCTAGGATTTTTTTCTGATTTCAAACGACTGGCCTGGCCAGGCTAGGCCCCTGCTAGCCTTGGATCCAAACGCACCCTTCTGACCACCTTCTACACTCGAAAGCAATGGCGATTCTAGCAGGTAGGCTCCATCAGGCTCTAGCCTACCCTCCAATTTTTACCGAAAATAGTTCAACTACATAGCAAAACCATGGGGAGAAATGTCATTGCGGCTTTTGTTGGGGACGAAGATGAACAGCGGTAACGCTCAACGTCGAGAAAGAAGGCCGGGAAGCTTACTTCTCAGCTATGATATTGGCCCACAACTAGATCAGTGGTTAAATAGACTAGTGCCAATAGGGCCCAGCGATTGGGAGATATGCTCCTGCAAGGCCGTGACTCGGCGAGCTCAGGATGTTAAGCACACTCCGCTGCGTGCCTTCTAGTCACGTATATATATGTCTCTCTCATGACCAAATGAAGAACGCGGATCCAAACTTAGACACTCGTACCTCAAAAGAATTTGTCAGCATCGTCGGTACCGGCCCACACTAGCTGTTACAGTGCGCAATCCGGGCCACCAACCATGGGCCACACCCAAGTCACAACTGGGCCTGCTCTACCACATGCCCAATCGGAGCCACAACTTTAGGTCTTGGGCCTACACAACTCAAAAACTAGTTTGATGGGTGAGTACTGCACCCCCATCATCAATTACCGATGTGAGACTAAACCCAATAATCTCCCCTATCACACATCGGGCCCAACAACCTCCCGCATCACATCAAACCATTAACCATTTGACCCCGAAGACTTACCTGGGCTCCCCACCATGTGACCCATGAAAATTGTTCCGGATTCCAATCTTGGGCTCTGATACCACTTGTTGGTGGGCCACCCATGTCACAACTGGGCCTGCTCCACCACAGGCTCAACCGGAGCCACAAATTTAGCTCCTGGGAATACACAACTCAAAAGATTAGTCTGATGGGTAAGTATTGCCCCCACCTTTTAAGTCGTGCTCCCCCATCATCAATTAACGATGTGGGACTAAATCCAACAATGGTCATGCCCCGTGCAACCATGGGAGAGGGAGGAAAGAGAGCTCGTCTCGGCAGCCAGGGAGAAAGCCCCTAGCTCTATGCCGCACCACTGCCAGACTCGTGGTCGAGTAGTTTCTGTCGAGCTCACGACCCCTCAATCGTCACCGGGTCTGAAGCTCGAGACCGCTGATGAGGAGGGGAGCTCGAGATCGTCAGCACGAACCGTGAGGACGTCGACCCCTCATTCTTCTTCTTCACCTCGTCGTCCTCTCTACTTCCTCGTCATCATGAGAGGGAGAGATGGCTTTGATTTGTGCATGTCGGAGCTCGCCGGTCGCGCCACCCCCAGGTTTGCGTGTGTGGATGGGGAAAGGCAATTGGCTGTTGAGGAAGAGAAGGAGCTGCAAAGGGAAGGATGCACGACACTGGCCACGACCATCGATGAGGTAGACGAGTCGTGTTTCTCATCGGTTGGGTGACTATGCGGCATAGTTGTAGTGGGAGAAGAGAAGATCAGTTGGCTCGGTGGAGTGGTGGAGATGGGGAAAGTACGAATGAGTTGTTGATAGGTGGGGATGGGGGTGCGATTATTAATTGTTCTCAGCATTGGGGCAGAAATGAATAAAAGCATGAGTTGAATCATAAAATTTATTGTCAGTAAAAAAACTCTATTTAAAGCCAAATACACTGTGGAGGGTGTTTCCTACAACTTTTGGTAGGCCTAATTGCCGACTTAAGCTTATCAAGTGTGGTACTTACACTGCTTGCTCCAATGGCTTCATCAAACACCGGTCAGTAAATATTACCAAATTCGACACATAAACTTAATTAGGTCACATGTATATAACCTAAGTTCGTGACTAAGAAAATTAGGGAAAATCCTCCCCATCGGGCGCCCGATGGGGGGGTGGGGAGAAAAAATCGGACTCCCGCGGCTCCCACGCCTCACGCGCCACCCCCACCACGCACGCTTTGCAGCAAATCACCTGCATATTACGGAAACGCCCTATTAGGAGAATCCGTTTTATTTTTTTTCCACCAACAATGTTTCAGCTAGTGTACTCATGATGTTTCATTATGTATGTACCAAAAATTGCTGTAGATTTTTGATACTGTCTTAATAATTTTATCTTGATTGACACGTGGTTTGTTGATGCAGATGGTTTAAGAGTTGCAATGGCTTAAAATCATTTTGCATATGTTAAACCAAATTGTTTCATCTAGCGATCTAATTGTATTTCACTTTTTTTTTTAAGAATTGAAACATTATTTCTCTATTTGCTAAAATATTATTTTTATATATGGTGAAACAACGCCCGATTTTGTGGAAACCGTTGTTTCATATGTTGTAGCAAAATGTTTTATGAGGTGATTTTGTTGTGTTTCAGCTTTTTAAAAGATTGAAACATTTTCGATCTATTTAGCGAAATATTTTCAGTCTACTTAGTGACACAGCGTCCAATTTTTGAGAAAAAAATCGGACGCCTGATTTGCAGGCGACTCAGAAAATTAGCGCTCCAATAATACTCCTGTACAGTGAAATGTTCTTAATATGTACAGATGCTTGTCGGAAGAACATATGCTTGATTTTCTCGCCGAGAAGATAAGATAAGTTCTTCTCCACTTGTCTCGCTAGCTTTTAGAAAGCAGCTCCTTTTTTTCTCCTATGGACTCACGACTCAGTCACGCATGCAGGCACATGTCTTTGCCATAAAGCGTGTTTGCTGACTAGCTAAAGTATGCAAAATTCTAATATAACACCACCAGCAATGCTGGGTCTTCTCTTTTGAAACAAAAAACAATGTGAACTCAGCAGCTAGCGAAACTACTTGGAGGGAACTCTTCCCTACTCTAGCATGTGCGAAATCACACACCAAAAACATTAGTTTAATTAATTGTAGGACAAGATAGCAAACGTGTGGCTACTTAATTACAACCTATATATACATATAGCCAATCCATGGTAGATATCGATCTGAACATCCAGTAGTGTAGCTAGTACAGTACTGATCTCCTCCTATACATGGCAAAGGAGAAAGCTCCTTGCTGCAGTACAAACAACAGCAGCAAAGCACCGGCGACGGCGAGGCCGACGACCAAGGGGTCAACAACAGCGTCCGGCAATGGCAGGCCACCGCCGACGACGCTGCACGACGTCCCCGACAAGCTCCTGGAGCTCATCCTCCAAAACCTCGATTCGTCTCTCTCGCTCGTCCGCGCCGCGGCGACATGCCAGCGGTGGCGCCGAGTCATCACCCAACAGAGCTTCGTCCTCGACTACGACATACCACCGCATCAGATCGTGGGCCACTACCACCACCGTCTCCATCCACCATCCTTCACTACTCCCAAACCCAGAGGCTGCTGCAGCAGCGTCGCGTTCGTCCCCACCTCGCCGGAGTTTCTCACCACCGGCCGCCGCCGCCGCCGCTTCTCCCTCGACTTCCTCCCCGGTGGCGGCTCGCGGTGGGAGATCGTCGATAGCCGTGGCAGCCTCCTCCTCCTCGCCAAGAAAAAGAAATCCAACTGGATGCGCCGCTGCTTCCCCGACCTCGTCGTCTGCGAGCCGGTCACACGGCGGCACAAGGTGATCCCTCGCATGGAGGTGATGAAGTACCACCACTGCGTCGGCGTGTTCCTCCTCGACTTCGACCGCAACGGCAGCTTCTCCATGTCCAATTTCAAGGTGACATGCGTGGTGTACCAGCCATACTTCGGTGTGTCCGGAGATGTTGGCACGATTACTGTTTGCGAGTACATGGAGGACATGTGGGATTGGACCCGGCACATGAAGCCCGACGAAGATGATGAGGTACCCAAGCTTTTCGAGTGGTACGTCGTCGTCACGCATCTCAGAACCAGACCCGGTATCCATCTCCATGATAGGGATTCCCTTCGTTTTCTTGGCCATGCTGGGGGCTCGATATTCTGGGCGATCAAGGAAGACGAAGGGTCACTGCTAATTCTCGATGAGAATGGGATTGATCCCCACATTTTACGCACGCCAGCGGGTGTGCGAGGGTCAGAGCTGCGAGCTATCGTCGACGGCAATGGCGACCGTCACAACGTGCGCGTCGTCGTCTTAGAGGGAGAGACTCTCCGTGTTGTGACATGGTTGTGCGACACTGATGAGTTGGTTCTTGAGAAGAGCCTCCATTTGGTGGAGGCTACTCGTAGGCTACAAGGCTACAAGGAGAGCTGTTTTTGCGGCGGAGTGGACATCGTCACGGTGAGCACGTCGTGTGCTGTTGTGACGCCGGTGGAGGAGAAGACGACATGGATGGTCTCCATCGACCTTGAGACCATGGAGGTGACGGAATGCAAGTACGCAAGTGTTGCGTATCCGTGTGAGCTTCCGTGGCCACCTACCTTAAGCGCTTGCACCGTGAATTGTAGAAGATTTGGATATATATGGTCGTTGCCCTAACATCTGTGTCTATTGATTGGAATAATACCCTTTAATCTTGTAAGATGATATAAACATGGCCCTTGCTTTTCTTGAATGTGTAGATTGGATTTAGTGTTGTATGTTCATGAAGAGAGCTATATGATGATATTATGACCTCTGCAACAAAATTTTGTTTGAAAATTTTAAAATCATTTGAAAATCATGCAAGGGATGCATGCATTTATGTTATAAAATCGATGCTCTTTTGAACCCTTTGACATTAGAGAAGAAGCTAGGCAGAACTACTACTAAATATGTGCAATCACTTATGGCCAGAATTGAGCTTACAACAGTGGCCAAATCCTCCTCCATCTCCTCTTCTCCTCCACCTCCATCCCTGTCCCCTCACCAACTCATCCGGCCTTCCTCTTTTCCCTCAGGCGGTGACAATGATAGCCACGGCGACGGTGCGTAGATCTATCGCTGGCCGTGACGACGACGGTGGCGACAGTGCATGAATCCACTGCCGACCGTGACGACGACAAAAATCTGGATCCGCCACCAACTAGCCTTGGGCGCATGGATCGGCCGCTGGCCGGGACAACAATGACGGCCGCGACGACGATGGCAACAGCGCCTGGATCCACCGTCGGCCGCGACGACGACAACGGTTGGATCCGCCGCTAGCTAGCTTGGGGCACATGGATCCACCACCCAGCAGTCTCAGGTGAGCGGGTCCATCACCGACGCCTCAGGCCGTTCTCGAAAGCGGCTTCGACTTCAACTAGCAGCGGCTTTGGTAGGTTGGGTGGTGGCTCTCAGGCTGCGCCGGCGGCTTCGACCGGCGAAGATTTTTTTTGCTTTGTGTGATATTTGATGAATTTGATGAATAAATTTGTTGAATGGATCGGGGGCATTTGAATATGCTCGAATATGGAATTTTTGAATTTGTTAGGTTTTTTTTTTGCGCTTTGTAAATACTTTCTTAGGCGACCTACGAAAATACACTATTTTCGCGGGGATTAGCCTCGTGTTATAACTGATTTGTCCGACGGCAAAAATGATTGTTTTAAAGTAGTGCCCAAATTTTCTAAGCCAATCCGTCTAGCTAGACACACAATCAGTTTCAAGAAGAAAAGATTCAGTTAATCAAATTCGAGCTTAATTAGTGGCATGCGAAGCATATTCGACAATGACCCACGTACGCTTTCCTCGTCACCCGCACGTTCAACCATGCAATACATGTGCAGCCCATTTTCCAGATATTCTAGCGGACGAAGCAGCTATCCACGCGCATATGGAGTCAGCTTTTTACGCGACGTACTTGCCGCGCGCCCCACGCTTACACTACACACGCTCTTAATAAGGAAAAAACGCGTCGTCAGTCAAACAAGCTGACCGAGATCGTGGCCGTGGGCTTAGTACTAATCTCTCTCGCGCGTGACCCTAACACACAGTCACGTCACGTCTTCACACACCTGGTGCCACTGCCCATGGCGACGCCGACGGAGACGCGACGCCGACGGAGACGCGCCGCCGCGGTCGGCGAGGGGGCAAGCTTAACAAGGCGCGGAGGAAGCCGCCGGTCGACCCACCCAAGGTCGTCGACGGCGGGACGACGACGACGACCGTGGACGACGTCCCCGACCACCTCCTCCAGGACATCCTCCTCTGCCTCGGCTCCTCCGCCTGCCTCGTCCGCGCGGCGTACGCGTGCAAGCGGTGGCGCCGCGTTGTCACCGCCGCCGGCTTCCTCGACGCCTTCCGCTCACTCCACGGCGCGACCCACCACGTCGCCGGGCACTACCACACCGTCGACGACGCGTACGACAGGCAGGCGGCGCCGGGGGCATTCCCTGATGGTGGCAGGAGCTTCGTCTTCGTCCCCTCCGACGAGCTCGCCGACACCGATCGCCGCCGGTTCTCCTCCCTCGATTTCCTCCCGGACTGCGAGAGCGGCTACTCCTGGGAGCTCGCCGACTCCCGCGGCGGCCTTCTCCTCCTCACCAAGATGAAGCAACGCACCGGCGACGGCTCACCGGCGCGGCGCCACTGCTTCACCTTCCCCGACATCGTCGTCTGCGAGCCCCTGACGCGGTGCCACCAGGGTATCCTCTGTCCTCCCGACCTCAGCGGTTACCAGTGCCTCGGCGTCTTCCTCCTCGACGGCGACGGCGACGGCGGCCGCATCGGCATGTCCAACTTCAAGGTCATCTGCGCACTCTACGATCGTTACCTGCTGAACTATATTCTCCCTCTCAGCGAGACATTGGCCTGCACGTTCACCTCCGGCAGCGGCGGCGGCGGCTGGCGCCTACCGCACAGCACAGCCGCCGGTGGCGACGTCACACTAGAGCATGTAAGGCTCGACGCCACGAGCTTCGTGGGGCGTGCAAATGGCCGCGTCTACTGGGAAATCGAGGGCGACGAAGGCGGCGACATGCTCGTCCTCGACGAGACCACCGCGGGATTCTCCCTCGTGACGTTCCCGGAGAACGTCCGCGAGAGCTACGACAAGCGGACGTTCCGGATCATCGCCGGCGGCGACGGCGTCGCCATGCGCGTGGTCCGTGTGATAAACAACGACCTCAAGGTGTTCGCGCAGCTCGACGGCGACGGCGAGTGGGTGCTCGAGAAGCGGGTTTGGTTGCCGGCGGCGGCACGGGGCCTGCCAGGGTACGACGAGGGGTACTTCCAGGAGCAGAACGGAGAAGCCATCGTTGTCGCGGCGAGCGCGGCGTATGTGCTGCTGACGCCGCCGGTGGAGGACACTTGGCTCTTCTCCGTCGAGCTGGAGACGATGGCGGTGGAGCGGTGGCATGAGAGGAACAAGTATGCCGGGGTGGCTTACCCCTGCGAGTTGCCATGGCCGCGGGCTTTGCAGGCTACGGATGCTGATCAGATTAGTGGGAGGAGACGATGCTGATGAGATGTGGATTGATTCTGGCTGGTCCAAAACTGTTTCGACAGTTGCATGCATTCACTTTGCGTTGCATGATGTTTCAAGCGCAATAATATTGCTGGCGGAATATTGATGCCTTAGGTCGAAAAGTGTTCTTGGCCCGTCAAGCGACCGGTCAGGTTTATCGTTCACATTAGCCATACCATTTTGCAAAAACATTCTATAATCTGGAAGCAATGTAATCAAAGAGTGACATGCCTCGGTCTTCATCTTCAAAATCTTCGAATATTCGCGTCGGAACTAATCTCCGTACGTCAATGTTTGAGTACGCACGAAAAAGAGAGAACCAAAATAACTTAAAAATAAAATACTACTCCCTCCGTTTTATATTATAAGTCACTTTAATTTTTTTCTCAAACTTTTAAAATTTAATCAAGTTTATAGAAAAATATATGTCCATTTTTAAAACAAAACAAACATATTATTAAAATATATTAAATGTTAGTTTTATAAAACTATTTAGGTATTATAGATATTACTAATTTTTTTTATAAATTTAGTCAATCTTAAAGAAGTCAAAACAACTTATAATATGATACGGATGTAGTATTATTAATAACTAATAGTATTAGATAGAGTTAGTGTTACAGGTAAGACATACCTCTCATATATGGATTCTCGTGATATACGGAAATGTATATTCAAGTATGGTAATAAGGTGAGTCAGGAAAGAAACTGTTTTCGTGGGAATAAAAGACATTGGAGTTCAACCCAAAGAATACAAGGTTTTGTTCAGCCCATATTCTACTTGGAGAAGACATCCGTACAAATACAAGGCCCGTTGTGGGGAGGAGAAACATCGAATCACAAGCCATAGTCAAAGCCACATTGAGAGATAATCTGGAAGAGTCAGAGCCTTAGTTGTCGATACCAACTCATCGAGACGTACTCGGCATATCCAAATCGGCAGGTTAGATTATCTAACTTGCTCCCCTTTGTAATCCGTATGGTACGGTGTTTTTTTTCAAGATACACATATAAACTTGAGTAGAGTTGTTACTCATCCTGAGAACCCAAATCAATATAAATCATTGTTCTTCCATTGGTCTCCTTATTATAATCTTGTGTATATCTAGGTACAAACGACCCCATACTCTATAAATACCATTGTCGAGTATAGCTCGTCGATAGATAGATCTCAATTTCAAGAAAAATTGAGACTTGAATTGGATTAATCGGAGCTACAGATGGAAAGATATGGAGCTTAGAAATCAAAAACATTTTTGGGATTATAGAAAATTAAGACTTTCGAAAAAATAATTTGGATTTGATTTAGAGGATGACAGGTACGGTCAGGTCGGAGGTGGGTAAAATGGACATCGGAGGAATGAAAAAGGAGAAAAGGCCCGTGGGCTGCCCGGCCAGGAAGGCCCGTGGGCTGCCCGGCCTAGCCTAAGCGCGTCCCATAGTGGTAGTCTGCCCTTGCGGTGGCGGCGAGCTCAGGGTTGAAGCACGGCGCTGTGGGCTGAGGTTGGAGAAGAAGAGGGGATGACCACGGATTTATATGTGGTGGGTAGCGAAAGAGGACAACAGAGAGAGGTGGTAGCAAGAGAAGTGAGGGAGCGGCCGGTTGCCCTAGCGTCATTATACTGCTGGCCCAAATTTTGGAAGAACTTTGGAGTAATTTCGAATTGAGAAATTCAAATCCTATGATTGAAATTTTGATAGGGATTTTTGGACGGGGAATTTTAATGGTCGCAAGGAAGGATTCAACTAAAATCTTTTGGTGCTTATGTCCTTAATAACATTTAAACAACCAAAATGTTTGAAAATAGATTTTTTTATTAAAATAGTTTTTAACGGTCCGAACATCGGGGTGTTATATGAAATCAAGGAAGAAGTAGTTTGCATCGAGGCCAATCATTTCTAGCGGTGAGGTAAAACGGACAAAAGGTGCGGCTATGGTAGTTGTTAGGACATGACTATCGGAGGCAGTGATGGTAGTACTTGCCAACCTTCCACGGACGGGGTGATCAAAGCAACATAGGAAGTTGGCGTTGGTGACTATGCGGCGCCATCACTTGCATGTCACCATTTGGGAAGGACGAGCTAGAGTGGTGATGCAGCGAGGTGGAGGAAGTCGCCCAGTGTCATCAGGAATGACTTTGTTGTCTGCACTGTTGCCTTTTTTCATCAAGGAATAACCTACATTAATTTTTCACCTCATTATTTACCTCAAGGGGTGGGAGTTTCGGTTATCCCGGACCAACTCTGAGTTCTACTCTCCTAGAGGACAGAACTCAGATAAGCTTTTCACCCCTACCGCTACCCAGTGTGGCCTCTTCCTTGATTTTTGCCAGGATGCTCATTGGTGTGTTTGCAAGCTCCATGAACACTTTGGAGTTTTTTTTTCCTTCCAAAGCTCCCAAGAGATGTGGATGATTAGGGATTTTATGGGCTACATTGGCGCGTTCAGTAAGGTGAGGAGGAGGTTCCACCAATCTTGTACTGAGTTGCTGCGACTGAGTCCCAAATTCTTCTTGTCAATCTGCAATGGATCAGAAGGTGAACTACATATTCTGGTGTAGCTCAGCATAGTGGGCAGAACCATTGGTTGGGCCATTGGCGCGCTTGTAATCTGTCAGCCATCCAAACAATATTTTGTATGATTAGCTAGGCGAAGAATTTGCACTTCGATGGTGCCCATGTGTCCCATATGATGTTCTTAAAAAACTATTTTTATTGCTCCTTTGAACTGTATCATGTAGGCTGATTTGGACGAGTATTGGCCGTGCTCAGTGAACCTCCACTTGATGCAGTCTTCGGTGTTTGGCAGCAGGTCGATTGTTTGGATTTGCATCCGGAGCTTGACAAATTGTTGAAAATGCTGGGCCGTGGCATAGTGCATAGACAGGAGGTCACCTACCCAATTGTTGTTTGAAATAGCCTAGTTAACTGATATGTTCTTCCTTCTTGAGACGCGTAGATATTCGGTGCAATGGACCACGGGATTTGGCCATTCAACCATTTGTCGTTCAAGAAGATCGTCTTGTTGTCGTGCTGACCCTGATTTCCATTGCCGCATTAAACATAGCCTTGTAGTATTTCTCATTGCAATTTGCAAGGCACCGGCATGCTGCACCAAAGGTTTGTCTAGCGCCACCAATTCAAACCAAAGCCAGCGCAGAGCTTAGTGCTCGAGCAAAACGTTGAAGGTCCAGTGCGCCGAGACCACTTAGGTCTTTCGGTCTGTATTCCAGTTAATTTTGCATCCCCCCGGGGGGCACCGGAGAGGTTTACACTACCGGCCCAAAGGAGTTTTCGTTTTATCTTGTCCAATGCTTGGAACATGGCCTTAGGTAACTTGATTGAAGTTAAGTGGTAGATCGCCTGGGCCATGAGAACCGTTTTGACCAGTTGTTCTTCCCGCATGGTTGAGGAGTTTTCCCTGCTAAGGAGGAAGCGTGTATGCTGCCTTGCCTATCAGCGGTTGATGATGCGCTTTCCCAAGTTTCGTCAACGAGAGGGGTAGGCCTAGATAGGTGATCAGGAAATCACCTTGTGTGGCAAGGAAGTTCGTCATGATGTTGTTTAGGTTAATCTAAAAGCAGTGAATTGGTGCCACTTGACTCTTCCGCAGGTGAATTAGCTCTCAACACTACTAGAAAAAGCATTTTTGCAGGCGGCCAAAAGTAGTTTTTCTAGGCGGGGGAAGGACCGCCTGTAGATAAACGCCTGCGAAAATCATCACCCAATGGCCCGCCTGCGAAAATCCTCTGGACGAACAAAAAAATGCGCCCCGACCACAGGCTCCGCACCACCACAGTCGCCGTCCACGCCACCGCCTCCGTGTCCGTGCCGCCGCCGCTGCGTCCGCGCCACCGCCGTCGCTCCCCCTCCGGCGGGGAGGGAGGGAGGGGAGGGGGATGATGGGCCCGGACGGTGGGGAGAGGAGAAGTGTTGAGGGAGGGAGAGAGAGAGAGTTGAGAGGGAAATGAGTGATGGGGAGGGGGTGAGAGGAGAAGATAAGGAGTTAAGTTTTTTTTTTGGGGTAGGTACGATTTTTGCATGCGGACCGCTTAAATGGTCCGCCTGCGAAAATTATTTTCGCAGGCGCCGCTTAAGTGGTCTGACAGCGAATTTCACCCCGATTTATATTTTTGTAGGCGGTCATTTGGCTCCAAGGGTCATATCTGCCTGCGAAAAAAAGACCCCACATCGGGTAAAATGCTTTTTCTAAGTAGTGCAAGCCCGTGGATTCACCAAAGACCTCTAGGGTTTGAGCTAAGGATGAAAACATCCCGTTAGGTTGGTGCGACGAAGATTGCGATATCATCTGCGTAGAGGGATGTTCGCATCCTAGCTTGCCGGCCACTTAGACATGATAAGGTGCCATCCTCCGTTGCTTTGTCTAGTACTTGAAGAATTGGGTCGATCGTTAGGATTAAAAGGAGAAGTGACATGGAGAGCCTTTGCTTTGTTTAGTATTTTCATGGGATGCATGGCTCTTTTGTGCGTGTGCACAATACGTAATTTTTGTAGATACTTGGCTAAAGGTGGTTCAACAAATGACCATGAAAGCCGTTGCTAGGTTCCTAGAAATTGATTTCTCTGCACCCGTGAAAGCTAAATCCCACTAGCACATATTCTTACATCCGTACACTACTAGAGAAATCTTTTATCCTAGTCCCAAAACACAAATATACCTGATGAACCGGTACTAAATATGCTTTAGTACCAGTTCGAAAAGCCCAAGTCCCTAAACATACCTTAAGTTCCAGTTGGTAACACCAACTGGTACTAAAAATGCATCTTTAGTATTGGTTGGTAACATCAACCCGGATTAAAGATATTTTTAGTACCGGTTGGCAACACGTTTTATACCGGTTGGTAACATCAACCCAGACTAAAGATGTCTCTAGGGTTAGTTTAAAAAGAAAGTATCTTTATCGAAGTCAGATGTGTGTAGTAGGTGGGATGGTAACGCGCGTGAGGGCTGAGGTGAGAGATCTTGAGTTCGAGTCCCACAATCCCACATATATATATATATATATATATATATATATATATATATATATATATATATATATATATATATATCTTTACAACAGTTTCCTTCAACACGTACTAAAGATCATGACTCCTCGTCGCTGACTGAAGCATCTAGGCCCCGGTTGTTAATTTTGATAATTAATGACAAGAGCTAATTGTGGACTAACTGTTCTCTTGAGTTATATATTTTGAGTTAGGACCACGTGATATGTGTTCATGGATGATT